TACAGTTGGTCAGGATGCTCTCGATGGTGCAGCGATAGAAGTTCACCAGGATGTCTGAGGACAGGTGGTTCTTCCTCAGAGTCCTCAAGAAGAAGAGGCGCCGCCGAGCCTTCTTGACCAGCTTGGAGCAGTTGGTCGTCCAGGTGAGATAGGAAATACAAGACTCTTCTGGGATGTAAAATCACCATGGCAACTAAGAAAACAGAGGTTTGAAAAAAACCTGAACTAACTAAATGAATGAAAGCGGTGTAAAAGTAATAAGAAAATCAGGTTCCATGCTGGAGTCCAAATGTGGTCTCTGAGCTCAGGGTGAAAGTATAATCGCTGTATCCATGAGCCTTTCTTTTATTCATCTGAAATTTTCTTGGCTGGTTTTCAACTATGATATAAAGATTATTAACCCTTTATAGACGTCTGTTTCCTTGATTCTTCATATCAGTTAATGAATTTAACCTTTAAACCCTTGCTGACACAGTCTTTAACCTTATATTCAAAAATGAATTCAAACACATCCTGGCCTGCTGGGTCGCTCTTTGCAAACTTATTCTCTACATGAAAACATTCAGAACTGACAAAAGCTTATTTTCAATTCTAGTAGAGAAGCCAAGTATTCAAAGTTACCAAACTTGGAGAGGGGGTGGTTTAGAGAAATTGCACAAGACATCTTTTATTTGATTGACTAGTACAGCCATAAAAAAAAGTACAGAGTTTTAAATATTTCACTGTGTAAACATCATATATCGCTAGAAGCTTGCACAACGTGGCACAGAATATGTGATACTGTCAGAGTGAGGTAGTTGGAACCAAGCTGGAGGCAAAGGAACCGGGGGAGGGGGGGAGGGGGGGGGGTATGTTAAGGCATTTAAAATGGTAAGCCTGAGCTGAGGGAATTGCTTGGAAACATGGTGTGAAGATTCATCTCAAAGTGCACTGCTCTCTGTTTGTACTTGGTGACATCAGCCTGAAGTGAATAAGGCAGCCTCACAGGGAGTTAACACACCAGAGAAAGTTTATTGCTTCAGGCAACTGCAGGTACATGGAGGGCTGTGAAGGATGTGACGAATGAAAGTCTGCAGTAATCAGTGGAAATGCAATGAGAGGGTGAAAGTGAGTGGATAATGTAATTTTGCAGCAATAAAATTAGATATATAATCAGCTGCTGACTCAAGGCAAATGAGTAAAGGTTTATTACGGCTGTGTTAATAAAAGTAAACCTGATTTCAGCAAGGGCGTTAAAGAAGAAAGCAGGCGGTGATGTAAATGGAAAGAATCTGTGCTGCTTTGTAGCAGTGAAGCACGTCACAGTCATTTACACAAGTCTGCGAGAGATCAAGGGCACGGAGAGCATTTCTTTCCACGCGTGCAGCTGTGCAGTAGTGAGATGCTTTATTTGTTTAAAATCTACACATTCTAGTTACTGTGAGAGAGTGTGACAAACCCAGTGACCTTCAGTCAAATGAAGCGACATGCCCAGAGGTGGAGTGCGATGTAAAGTTTGATACTTTTTACAAAAGAGCAGTGGAGGTGTGTGTGTATGTGGTGGTGGCATATAATCTACCATTCTTAAAACAGCTATTTTTTCATCTATAATATGTAGGCATTAACGTTATGAAACTTGTAGACCTCAGGCTTAAATAACATCCAAGTTTTCATATTGTGTTATTATTTTTGACAGATCCCATGACTTTCTGACTTTACTACTCTGCCGTTGGCTCTGGACGTAAACCTAGTGATTCCTCCTGAAAACAGTGGAACACATAAAAGGAATGGTTTCAGGAAAATACGCTTTCTGTGAGAGATTTGCATTTGACAATCAATCTTACTCTCATAGCTCTTCATTAAATAAAAAGCCAGCAGTCAGTTAACTTAACCTGGCACAGATTGGAAAAAAAAAAGTTTCATGTTGTGCTTTGCTGGATTATTTCTGGCTCTGAGCAGTTGTCAGACTGCCAGAAGAGACTCTATTAGTACTAGAAGTAATGTTTTACTTCTCTCTACCCGTCTCTTAATCCCTGACAAACCTGTATGTTGGCATTGAAAGGTTTTAGAGCTGTCTAAAACTGATAGATTTAGGCAGATAAGTCTGATGACTGGTTAGGGTTAGGTTCAAATAACTCCCCAAAATTGGTTTGGGTAGACACCTCAGAATAAAACGTAATGTAAAACACACCTCTGGGCAGCATTAGCTTTTAGGGAAATAGTATTGTACTGTATATATTTTTACTTCTTTGTTCTTTCGAAATGCACTTTAAGTAGTTTGCAGTCCAGTAAAAACAAGTGCAAAGTGCAGGCTTTCCTTATTTTCTTATTTTCTTACTTCTTGAAACCAATTTTCATATGCTTGAGATCATTTGGAGTACAATTATTTTTTATTTATTTAGTATATGTGTAGCATTCATTTCATTGTTTAGTGAAGTTTGTTTTATGATCAATTTGACATTGATTGAGAGGTTAAAGATCAAGTGTGACTTGATGTTTTTAATCTTTATACAGTACTTTCTATATGTTGACAATACACACCACGCTTGTATAAAGTTGCTGTTTTTTGACCAATTAATCATGAAGTTGACCTTGAAAACTTTATTATAAACTTTAATGGCTTGTTAACATGACCCGAATCTACGTTTTCTTAAAATTCATTTAAAGCATTTCAAGCTAATGTGAAAGACAGAATGACACGCACACAAGCAAAATAACCTCCTTGGCGAGAGGTGACAATTTGAATAACAAGTCAAGAAAACCAAAGTGGGTGCTAAAGAAAACGGACATATTTTTATTTTGTACTTCTTTTTTGTATGAATAAAATAAAGATGATGTAAAGTGTTAAGGATTAAACTTTAAGGCTACCTGTTTGACTTTTTCCAGTGTATGTGTTAAGCTAACATGCTGATATTGACTAAAAATAAAGTGTAACATCAGTCTTCAGTTCAGTATTAATTTGTCAAACAATGAAAAAGGATATGTCTTAAAACTTTCATGCGTTGAAGTTTTCAAAAAAAGTATTAGTAAATTCCAGCTGGCAAATTTTCACCAGTTATTTAGCTTCAGTTATCTACCAACTGATCCCATGCTCCATTCACATGTGTGAACTGACCTCAAAAACATTTCTCAGCTTATTCAAATCACCTCAGAAGACTTTGCCCTCACTGTTCAATCCCTCAGTGACCCTGGAATCCTCTTTATCTGCTAGAGCAAGAAACATAACCATAACCCCCCATTTTATTAAAATAGAGCACTGAGCTGAAAGTCAATAACTGTGAAAATGAAATATTCTCCATCAAAGGCAGAGACCAGAACATGAAGACTCATAGATGTGATGCCATCAAATGTAAAATCTGGAGCTGTTTCATTTTTTTATTCACTGAGAGGTATTATTAGTTATGAAGCAGAAATTTCACAGAAAATCCCTCTGGATTTCTTCTTGGTTGCTTTAAACAGCTTTTCTTATTCATCCTGTCTGGTGTACTTTGGGATATTGAATGCTGATGATAAAAGAGGTTTTCTTACACTTAGGTTTGTTATAATGTTGTTTTATTAAATAATTGAGCTGGTAGGCTCCTATATTTGTACAATAAGTGTTTATAAAGCCCTTTTCAGACATGGACTATGTATCATCACTGGCTGTACGTGTTGTTGAGAGTAAAGGCATTTTGCCATTCAGATGGGTTTCACGTTATAAATGCTCTTCTTTTGGCCATGTAGAGATCGGCTGTGGCCCTGCATGAAGAAATGCTGCCCCATCATTCATTTGGAACAGAAGGCATTCTGGGTACACAGTGGGAGTCTAGCGTTGGTCAGCAAAAAAGTTTCCCTACTATCCTTTGGTAAGGTGCCGTGGTTCTAAAGTGAAAGCTCTATGTGTGCTAATTCCAAAAATACATGATATAATGTAACAGTGGATGCAGAAAGAAAATTGATGAGTATTGTTATTAATTTATACAACCATCAAATTCTGAGATATGCTACTTATCTGAATTTTCTAGCTTTGTTAGCTAGTATGACAGATAAAATACCTCCAAAGATTAACTCGTGCATTGAGCTGGTTTATTTCAATGGCCTTATAAAATAGCTTATCAGTTGTATAGTAGGGGAATTTCAGTGTAGCATCATCCATCCATCCATCCATCCATTCGCTTCCGCTTATCCTTTTCAGGGTCGCGGGGGGCGCTGGAGCCTATCCCAGCTGTCATAGGGCGTATCATATTTAATGGAGATATTTGATTTAATGTTACAAGTAGTCAAAGAAAATGTGGTTCGGTAGCTTGGCACAGATTTGCATATATATGTGACGCACTACTGCAGTTTAAGAATGCAGCTTGCTAACCAAGTTTGCTAGCATGAGCTGATAAGCTAGAATTCTACTCTCTGGAGAGCTAAACCAACACTGGTCATTTCTGGCTTCAAAATAGCAAGAAGAATGCTGCCAAAATGCCAACACCAAGGCGACCGTGGCTCAGGGGGTTGGGAAGCGTATCTGTAACCGGAAGGTCGCCGGTTCGATCCCCGGGCTCTCTGTCCTGGTCGTTGTGTCCTTGGGCAAGACACTTTACCCTACCGCCTACTGGTGTTGGCCAGAGGGGCCAATGGCGCGATATGGCAGCCTCGCTTCTGTCAGTCTGCCCCAGGGCAGCTGTGGCTACAACCGTAGCTTGCCTCCACCAGTGTGTGAATGAATAGTGGCATTGTAAAGTGCTTTGGGTGCCTTGAAAAGCGCTATATAAATCCAATCCATTATTATTTAAAATCCACAAAACAGTACGCCTGTCTTTTATATACAGCCTGTGATGCGGACACATCTTCCCTGCTTCAGTGTTGCCACATTGGGCTTTTCCACATGATACTGGGCTATCTTAGCTTAACTAAGCAGGTAAAGAATGTGTTATAAAATGAGCCACTCTTGTACTCCTATGTGTTTCTAAGCTACTAAAAGTCTGACAGTATTTCAAATCGAAAGGGACAAGTGGCCGACTTGGAAGGAGAGCTAGAGGGAGAACTGTGAGGCAAAGGGTGCATGCCAACGTTCTATAAACAAAGGGTAGTTACTGGAGCCTGGTCCACTAATCATGATGATCAACAGTTGCAGCAGTGGCGGTGACACACTGCCCCACCCACACATAACCTAGAGTAATGACTGGTAAATAAGAAAAACTGATTCTTGAAACAGAAGGTGCAACAAAAAGAAACCAACTAAACCACAGAGGAAGGTGTTGAAGTGTGACGCTCACTATTGTCTAAATTAATCACTTCATATTTAAGTTAAAACAACTGATATTTTTAATATTGAAGCATTACTAGAATCAGGTGGGTTTGGGTTTGACTTTTAGTTTGCAGTCAGGCTGGGACTTGGATATCACTATATTTTTTTTAAAGTTGGGGTAACATTGATGAATGATTACTGATATCTTTAATGATCACTGGTTTCACTAGTTAGCAGTTCCTGGTTTCAAAGAACCGCTATGCCTTTTGCTATAAAATCCAGAAATCAGTGGGTACCAGACACATCGCTGTGATGCTATAGCTTTGGGACATGGAGGGGAAAGAATACCTTTGTTTATACAAAAATATTCTACAACAAGTGGTAAGATTGAAGATTTTTAGGTTATTAAATTTAGGTTACACATGTTAGTCTCCTTGTGACAGCATTTTACAGCATTATGTCACCTCTTGGCTAACTAAAAGCTGACAATGTGATTGGTCAGATGCAATATTGATCCAGGACCAACATGATGCAGGAACGACACCAACAGAGGGATATCAGATCGTGTGCAATCAAACACACATTATTTTATGTTGTGAAAAATGATGGCTGGATGGATGTTTTGTTGACTAGACAATGTTGCTGTAAATTAGGATTACTTATTTAAATTTGACACAATCAGGCATTTAGTTTTATAAAGTGTCCCATGAATGAAGACTTTTCTTGTTCTGCAACACAAGGGGGGAGATTTTTCCATCCTACATGAAAAGATTACCCATTCACTCAGTCTGGCAGTGTGCCACATTGCAAGTATATTATTATTTTTATGTAAAAATGACATTGAAACAGTGGTTGCAGCACTTCTGAGAGTTAACTCCAACTAAGAGGCTTGGTTTAACTCAGCAAGTTCACAGCTCAGCAGATACCTTTCTCAACTATATAATACAAAGGAGTTTAAAAACTGCAGAATTTTGATTTCTAAAATTGTGGCAGAGGTAAGCTGGAGAGAAAAAACTATTTCCACAGAACACAAACTGAAAACACTTTACTGTAACTACACCCTGCAAAGTTGATGACTTCTCAGAACTGAAGATTAGGAGGGGGTGGGGGGTGCACTTTTTTCCCCCCTCTTTACTGTTTGCCACCCCATCTCGTTCTCCCTCCCTCTCTCTCCCTAAACCCCCCTGGAGTCTGTGAAGTGTGAACAGACGCTTTGCTGTCTCAGCTTGGCAATCTTTGATCAACGCAGGGTTGCCAGCCTTCAGTCGGACAAGGTCAGAGGAGCGAGATGACAGTCTGTGTGTTGTCAAAAGCGGGGAGGCGCCACCTGTTTGAGAATAAATTCTGCTCACTCTCCCATCTACCTGCACCCTTAATGCCAAAGAGCTTCAAACTGAGTGGAGTCAACAGCTTGTTTTATAGAAGTAGGCCTCTTCATTGATATGTCCATTAGACGTGTCCCCAGGTATCCTTGTCAAACTCGCTGCCTTTGACAATAACCAACCTTGGGCTCTATGCAAATGTTGTGCTGCGCCGTGAGTTACTGACTCTCAAACAGCAGACGGGATCACTTCTAAGCCTGCCTGTGCATTGGTCTGTGTCAGTGCAGCAGATAAATGCCTGTACAGTTTGTTTTCCTGCTCCGATAGCGAGAATGAAATCAACAGGCAAGCTGTGTCGCTGTGTAGTCTTTTTCAGGCAGTCTTAAACCCAATCCTCTTTGCTTCCCTCCAGGGTGGAATTTGAATGACCTGATCAATTTCTAATCAGGAAAGACCTGCAGCCTTTCTCTCGTTGTAATGGAGTTTCCTACAGATCTTCTATATGGCAGGCTTGCTCTGAAATTGTTAAGAGCAAAGGGTAGGTTGCATGTTTTCTAGGGTTCATTTTTCTGATGTCTTTTTTGACCTGCATCGCAATGAATGCATTTTATCACCAGTGTGAATCTGCTGTTACCTAAATATAGAGCTATTTGTGGAATCCTAAACACCACTGCACATCACAATGAAGCCCGGGCCCTGGATAAAGGCAGAGGTGGCCTTTTCATGTTGGAAATGAAACCCCACGAGGTCTGCCTGCTTTGTGCGTCAAGAAAAGCCACGCTCCAAAAAATACTTAAGTATATTCTGGGAATTTTATCAGCAGTGTGTTTCTGAATAACTCTATAGGCTCCGTAGTAGATTGAACGTGGTTTTTACTATTGCTTCCCAACTATTTTTAGCAGACACCCCTCATGGAGCAGTTTGAGCACGCTTTCACTGACACTACATGTCATGCTGTAAATGTATTTGAATTTTAACACAGGGCTCGTCATATTATATCACAGTTTCTCTAAATAATTACCGTGGTCAAATTCTTCTTTGTGTTTGCTTTTTGGGGGTTTTTTGGTCTTGATTTTGCTGGGATTTGTGGATTATCCAGTGTGTATTCTGGGTATTGGCCCAAAGCAGGGGTAGGCAACTCCAGGCCTTGAGTGCCGGTGTCCTGCAGGTTTTAGATATCATCCTGTGGTTATCTAAAACTGGCCTCTGGAGAACTTCAAGCCATGTTGGGGAGGTAATTTAGCCATTTGAATCAGCTGTGTTGGAGGACAAGGACACATCTAAAACCTGCAGGACACCAGCACTCAAGGCCTGGAGTTCGAGACCCCTGGCCTAGAGGCCTGTGGACAGTGGGAAGCCCTTCTGATCCTTCTAAAAAAAAAAAAAAGACTTTCAGATTTTTATTCTGTTCAACCACTAGTTTTGAAACCATACATTATACAGCCATGCAAAACAGAACATTTCACGGGATTCTAAGCAGTCCTGTGAAAAACCAAATACACTCTATGATTTAGTAGTTTGTAAAACAACCTTCAGCAGCACTAAGTTAATCATTTTCTGCATGACTTTATTAGTCTTTCAAATTGTTGTGGAATTTTTTCCCACTCTTTTTTGCGTTACTTCAGTTCTTTGAGACCTTTGTTATGTAGGGCTTTCTAATGGTCCTGATCAGGTTTGCTTGGATTAACACCTGGATTCTGTTTTCAGCCATTCTGTTGTAGAATTGCTCCTGTGCTTGGGATCATTGTCTTATTGCACGAGGCAATTTTGGCCAAGCTTTAGCTGCCAGACAGATAACCTCACATTTGACTCTAGAATACTTTGATATTCTGAGGTGTTCTTGGTCAACTCCGTCACAGCAAGTTGCCCACTTCTTGTGGGCATGAAATAAGCAAGTTAATCCAGACGTTAGCTGCTGCAACCATCACAGTGGACTCATGACCTGAAAGTGTGGTCAGAGCTAAAGGAAGAGGCCAAACTAGCTGGAGAAGCAAATAACCACTAATGTTGTAACAATGATGTAATGATGTGCTGATCTGCTGTCTCCTTAAAAGTGAAGTTTCACCATAAATCTACCCTCCGAAGGGAATATTCTTATTTTGCCTAGACGAATGAATGTGAATGTGTCTAATTATAAAAGAAAAAGAAGATTTAACACCAAATCCAATTAGCTAGGGCCAACCGAACACTTGTCCCCATGCATCTGTACCTTGATGCCTTTTTGACATCAAAATGGGATTGTTGAGATGAGTAAATATCACCAAAGTGGTATCTGTCAGCTTATCCCAACTAACTAGCTATGCTCTGGTCTCAAAGACGGTATATAAATGATGGCAGTTGCCCCTGATTTTAGGTTGTGCATTTTGAAGTCTAAGAATTATTTTTAATCCTGCTTTAACCCTTGATGTTGCCACTCGCATGGTAGTATCCGGTAGTGCATGGTAGTACCGACAAGCAGGTCTTGCTGTTGGTAACCCACCTTTGGAAGTAGCAGGGTAGTTGTTTTTTATCTAAATGTTTCCCCGATGCTAACTAGCAGACTCCAGGTTTTCCTGTCTCGTGTTTCTCGTGTTTTACCAGCTGACTGGCCAACCGGCCAGGTTGCTAGATAGCTAGCTAGTTCATTGTTGATATTCCTAATTAATGAGGCTGATGGCAACTGCAAAACTGCAATACTAATGTCTGCAAAGAAACATGGATGAAAACAGCAGCGTGACTGTTCGTACTGGAGTTTTACAACCAAAAAGTAGTTATTCTCCAGTTAGTCAATGATTTCTATGTTCAGTCTGTCTTTTTATGTATGCCACAGGGGGGTGGGGGAATGAAAAAGGGGATTACGGTTGTTTCCTGTTTCATTCCAGAAAAGCTGATATGATTTTGCTGAAGACATTTATGGTTTTTGATGATGGTCTTTTTTAAGAGCTAAAAGACTTTGATGCATCCTGTGTAATTTGGCAACAACAGAACAATAAAGAAAACATTTTTCACAGTCTTGCAAATTGTACTGCAGTACAGTCTCCTCTTTGAACTGTTAGTGCTGTGAAATTACAAGAAGGCAGCTTTGAAGAATGTGTGTTGTGATGTGTACTGAGCCACCAGCTTCCTGGCAATGTGTTTGATTTGATTGATTTGATATACCTTTATTAGTCCCACAAGGGGAAATTTCATAAGGCTGCCGACCTATTGCACGCAATGGCGGCGCCATCTTACCCTCTGACCATACATACATTACACAAAACATCACATGGGGAAGACAGGTCAGAGAGGTATAACAATGGAAAAATGCACCACACGAGGAAAGATAAGGAGAAAAAAATAACTCCCCCCAGACTGAGCTCCAACAGGGAGATCAGTTTGAGAACAGAAAAAACCACCTCTGCACATAGCACGTGAAAAAAACTCTTAATACACCAAAGAAACACATGACAAGCAACAGGGATGGGTAAAGGGTGAGAGACAGCCGATTTAGACAGTACATCCGGGCCTGCAGCCTGTGCGCTGGTCTCCTTGATCCACCGTCAGCATCGGAAGGGAGGTCGAAGGCGTTTGGAAAGGGAGGGGGGATGAGTGTGTGCATATCAGTATATATGTGTGTGTGTGTGTGTGTCCAGAGTTCGGCAGAGAGAGTGTCCTTCACCCTGCTAGGCTAAGTAAACAGTCTTCCAGCCAATCCAGGTGGCCTTGCATGGAATGGGAAGAACAGACTAAACACAGTCGTTATCAGGGTGGTTTTGTTCGGCTCCAGCCCTGAGACCGCAGCTGGTTAGGATTAGGGTTAGTATTAGGTTTGCCTGTAAACCTATGTATGGAATTCTCCTATTTGACACACAAATGGATATCCTATGATACAGGCACTGTAAGGCCAGAATGGTGAAAAAAAACTTGATTTTAAGGGTAACATGTTGTAATCTGTGATTCTAGGCTTTCTTAGCATAAAATGCAATCTAACCCTACGCTTAAGTGGTTTGTCAGTGAGCTGGGGGAATTCAAGAAGTCGATGTTACACAATGTCCTTTTATTTGCCTTCTAGGTGGATTATTAAACAATGGATGACACAACAGTGACTGACCTCAAAGAGTCAACATCAGAGCAGTCAGTAAATCGGATTTACACTCATAAACCTGGGACCACCAGGCTGGAAGAACCACACAGCAGATTTATCTTCCTTTGATTTGAAAGGAATCTGCAAAGAAGTCACATTGATGGATTTAATTAAGGACGTTTTTGACTGAAACCCAGAATTGTCTGAAAAATAACCACAAGTCATTTTGACGCCGTGTTTTGACACATCTGAGTCACCTGTACCATGTGGTCAATGGGCTTGCTCTTTTCTCACACCTTTTGGACTCTAGATTTATCGTGATGCTGCTTTTTTCTGTTGCGCTCTCGGAGTTTCCCACAAGCGGAATTTGACTATCGACAACATGCCTCTGCTCAAAGTCAGGAAAATCAGGACTTTTGCTCTCCTTTTTTGTGTCATTACATTTACAACTTTCCTGTTCAGCTATACCTTCCGGGACCCTTCACTCTACTTCTTTAAGTACGCATTTCGCCTGTCGGACAACTTCTTCTCCAAAGGGCTGTGTGCCTGTCGTCAGTGCATAGCAGAGCTGGAGGATGACCCGTGGTTCGCCGAACGCTTTAATCAGTCCATCCACCCTCTGATGACCAGAGAGAACAGTGCCCTCTCGGATGAAACCTTTAAGTGGTGGCAGGTAAGATTCAGGGGATGTGTGTGGGGGGAATTTGCAATGCTGTTTCTACACAAGATTGGTAATAAAAAAGCACATTCAGCATTCGAGAGAAGGTGAGGTGCTGAAAAGGAAAGATCATGAATAAAGAACAGAGTTCACACACTGCTGTAATGCTCCCACGACACATTTGTGTTTGCCACATTGATTGTTTCAAATCCAACAAGTCCTTACCAGGATCAAGTTGTGAAGCAAACTCCCACGCACAATTTGTTCATATTTAACAAGCAAGATGGAGAATATGGAAATTCTCTCCCAGAAAATCCCCCTTCTCACCGTCTCTTCTCCCCTTTGGTTTTCTCTCTCTCCCTCTCTTTCTTTCATTCTCTCTCCCTGTCCTATCCCCCAGTCATGTCTGTCCCGTTTGTAGCAACTGAAAATAAAATAAATTCATAATTATAATAAAGGTCAATCAAATGGACCAATATGGCAAGGCCATGATGATCCACTTGGTAAAATAAATCCGCTTGGCATCTTTCTTGGCCTTAAGACAACAATTCTGATGGCCAAAGATCCAAACGGGACACAAAAAAAAAAAAAAAAGAAAAGAAAATCTGTAGATAACGAGAGACATTTTCCATACATGACTTGAAAGCGTAAAAGATGCTTTAACTGTTCACTCACTGGAATCTGTCTCCATCACACTTTAGGCCAGGGTTGTCAAACTCCTGTTACATTGTAGGCCTTAGTGTTGGACCACTTAAGTGAGCCGATGTTGTACCGAGGATGGTGTCCCCGACAAAATTTGTTTCCCCTGCGTCGGGAGCGTTCGCTGAGCAGGGAGGCGGATCCAGTTTACTCCGCCTCCATTACATTCAAGTAGACGTGAATGTAGTGATGTTTTAGTTTTGTAAAAAAGTGAAAAATGAGTGTTGTTGCATTGCATTGTTGAGCGTTACAACAGAAAATCGTACATTTATTGTTCTCACGTGGTATTCAATGGGATTATTTCAACAAACCAAGGACATTTTGCCTAATAATTATTTGTATCCTCCTGTAACTTTACTGTTTAAAGAGCTAAAACTTCCAAAGTTTCAGGAGTAATAAGTCATTATAAGAAGTGTTTGGGAACTAACAATCAAGAATGTGAGATCCTGTTTGTTTGTGATTTGGAGAGCCCAACGCATGCTCCCGACGCAGGGGAATCAAATTTTGTCTGGGATACCTACCTTGGCAGGACACCGGGACCAGTGAAGTCAGTGTAAAGAAGGTTAAATATAATAAGAGATATACAAGTATAAGGAAAAGAAGTTAAATTTTTTAACAGTACATGTCAGTTATTCTACATGATAAAGAAATGTTGCTGAGGTAAATGAAAGGAAATTTGCCAACATAACTCTTTGGACTTAAATTGCAAAGTTCTGGTAGCTCATTGCTCTCACTGTCCGGTAAATAGGAAACAGTTTCTGCTAATTCACAGAAAGTCCCTTTTTTCTTATTTCTTTAGCCATACCCATTTAAAAAAAAATTTTTTTACAGTCAGTAGTTAAAAAAATAGCAAAATTGTTTATCGTTAATGTAAATACTTTGGTGTGGTATTAAAGGTTATGACTTAATTATCAGTAAAAGTTGTAAAACATATTAAAAAATATTTCACATTTTCCAAACCCATCCAGTGGGTCAGATTTGAGCTCAAACCGGGCCGTTTCTGGCCACCGGGCCTTATGTTTAACACCCCTGCTGTAGGCAATTAAACAGTCATAAAACTAGTTTAGCAGTAAACTTTTACAAGAGCTTTCAGAAAGCTTTACTTTAGTGATTTTGTTGCTAGAAAGTTAACAAAAACATCGGTAACACTGTATGTCTGTTTCCTTGTAATAACAAACCACAAGGAACGCAACTATCTCGCATGGCTCTGTTCCCAAATCACAAACATTTGAAGTTCACTAACTTGACTAATATTTCACCAAAATTATAACATTTTCATCACTGCAAGTGACAAAAAGTGTGAGGTGCGGGACCTCATTTCTTTCAGAAAAGGTTTGGCTAATGCTTCGTGACAACTTTCCTCTGAATGGGCTGCCCTACTCTAAACAGCAGAACATGTTTTACTATTTTTTGTAAATCCTTTTCTACTGACATCATATGGAGATAAGAATTGAAAAAATCAACCTCAACCTCACATCATTTGAAATCTTGGCCACACTTAAGATGAGCATCCAACGCTGTAACATATATGCGTGAGAGGAAATGAGACAAAGCATAAAAGTCTCTGTTTAATCTTACTATTACTGTAACAGTGAAAACTCAGTGCATCCCAGTCTTTTCAAGTCACTGAAGTCTCCATCTGGCAACTGTCTAGTGTCAGACTAAACATAATGTATTTGTTTTGACATGAGCACCATGACTTGACATGGCAGTCAGCAGAGGAATTGTTATCTCTGCCTCTTCCAAGATGGATTTTGTCACCTGTGTGATTGCTGGGCATCACTGACTAAATGGCCCCCTGAGAGTAGAAGCCCTTGGATGCAGAGTGACAGGAAATCCAGTTTTTTTTACTGTTATTTACTGAGATTTCCCCCATATCAACCTCCATTTTCTCTCCACCGGAAAAAAAGCTTAATGGATGTCACGCCCCCTACATTTGGCCTGTCGCGTGTGGGGAACATAAAATGCAGCAAATATAAAAAGGAATCCACGGTCGCTGGATACCATAGCGCTTAGTGTTTTATGGATCCCTTGCCCCATCTACATAAGTACTTATGTACCAGCCCAATATATAGTTTACTTTCTCTATATGTCATCATTAAACTGCAGCTCTCTAAATCAGAAAGAGCTATTCACAGAAATGATCCTACCTTTGTGTGGAAGGCATCCAGTATTCCCACATTCACCTCACACCATGTCCAATTAGAGGCAGGAATAGGCAAATTACTGCAAGGTTGCCTCCTGTCACTATTCATTCCAGAAAGTGCTTCTCACAGGAAGCTTGATGAGGCAAGCATCACATATCAACGGTTGCCCGGCCAGATGGTGTGGCCTGCTCTGCTCCAAGGCAAGGGCATGACCATAAGGTGCATCTGAGCGCTTTTCTCCAAGGAGCTGTCACAGTTTACATGTTACACAGCTAAATGTAATTCCTGCATCAATTGCTGCATATTCTAAACTTGCCTGCTGTCCACCTAAAACCTTATTGCCCAGTTGTTTAAATATGATAGAAAAGGCTGAATGAAAATTTTGAACCACATGTATCCAAAGCCATGCTTTAAAATTGAGAATGATGTAGAATATCCTGTATCCATTCAGCAGACAGCACACGCACATTCCTGCGCTTATTTGCTGACTCTCCGAGTTCAAAGCTGCCAGAAGAAAGTAGGGCCAAAAGAGCCCCCGCAGACGGAGCTAAGCCGCCCCTCAGGTTCTTTCAGAAATGTGCTCGGTGTCTTGAGCTCCACTGCCCTTGTTCAATCACTTCTACTTAAAGTGGCCCTGGAGCTGTGTGTCTGTCTCTGAGGCCTGCATGTGCTCTGTCACCAGTGGTTGCAGTCAGAGAGGCAGCCGGCCAACTTCAACGAAGTGGTGGAGGAGCTGTTCCAAGTCATCCCCGATGAGGTGCTTTACATGGACGCCGGTCCTGAGCGCTGCAGGACTTGCGCCGTCGTGGGGAACTCCGGGAACCTGAAGGGGTCCCATTACGGTGGCCTCATCGACTCTAGTGATTTCATCATAAGGTCAGTAAACACGTCAATCAGAGGTTTGATTTTGAAGCTCTCACTTCTATTTACTCTGCACTGTGAAAATTGAATTGTGGATCTGTTGCTTCACTCTGCTTGGGCAGAGTGAATTTAAGAGTTGAATTTAATTTTTCAAGCTTCACAAGTCAGTTCATGTTATGAAAGCATCACACGAGGGCAAGGTAGCTGCTGGTGCAGCCTGTCGTTAGGCATCAGAATTACAAAAAAACAAGAAGAAAGAAAAGCAAGCGGCAACCTCTGAGCTGAAAACTGTCACACAAATGTCAAAAATTGCAGTTCCCCTAATGGGCACATGAGGATGATTCCAAAAGCAAGACTTCCATGTAAAATTCCCAACCAAACAACATTAAAAAGTATAATTACAGCCTGGTACAATAGCAGTTTTACCCTCTGTGGAGGCACAGCATCACAGCCCACCATGGTTGAACTGAGCTGGATGTCTCTACCCTGGAATTATCTGACTAATAATATGGCCTACTGCCTACTGGTACAGCTCCACTCCTGACTAAAAACACTGGGTATCTGGGACAGGTCGATATGTGCGACTGATACAGTTCTTTCTTGCTCTGCCTTTAAGTGTGCCATGCTTTAGCTTGGAGTAAGAGAGCTAACATACCACGGAGGAAGGTAATTTTGAAGGTTCAGTAGCTTGGAGGTTTTTTAAACCTGCGATACCGAGAGTTTTTCTTCTTGTTTTTGCGGTAGTTTTTGATTTATTCGCAAACTGTGATTAAGTATTCCGACGTAACTGAAAAGCTCAGATGATGACGCTTCTATCTCTCTCTTTCACTCCCTTTCATTATGTTCAAGGCAATATTTGCTTTTATTGCACTCATGGTTAGAGAACATTTGATTAATATTGACTAGATTAATATTATTTTGCTTCATCTGTCTTTTGTCAGCACCACTCCATATATGATATGTGGTGTGTGAGGAGGTGTGCTTACAGGCAGTGCAGGGAAAGTAAAGATGAGCACAGCTTTAAACAGCCGCAGTAGATGCAGTAGCTTACTAACTACAGACTAGTGTAAATTAGAAAAATGAATAACTTGCTTACATTTTTTTTTTTGATTTATTTAGGTTCTGTTGCCATTTACTATTTTACTGAGATCACCACTTATATTTTAGAACGATAAAATGTGTTGTCTTATATATGAAATGATACAGATATTTGGTGCTTTAAAAATCTCTCAGCTGATCAAAAACATAAACAGACATTCTAAATATTTTTATGTGAAATTATGTGTATTTTTATTGTTTTTTTTAGTTAAGAATAGAAATATGGGGGTGCAGAATAAATGTATTTTATTGTCACAAGAAGTTGTGGAGTACTTGTTTACGTTCTCCCTGACTCTGCTAGGATCAGTTCCTTTTTTGTGCGTTTCCAAACATGTGTGATGCCAAGTTGCAGAGTGCCCCCGGTGGACAAAATGTGTAATATCAGCCCAGATTACATGGTTGAAGGGTGTTTCTCCCTTCTCTTTTTTACTTTTTTAACATCCCATTTATCGCTTGTTATAAATGCAGACACCAATAGATCAGCAAGTAGCTAAATATCAAGGTCAATATATCAGACAGGGTTTAAATTTTGCACTCTAACAAGAAGGCTTCTGCTTTGAAGCCCACACTGTAGTTTCATCCATCATTTATAACCAGTCTATTAGTTGTAGAAGAAGAAAGTTTGCTGGCAGCTGGCATCAATAATAATGATTGCTAACTGAAGCTTAGCTACTTTGCCTTTCAAGTAGCTGGTTGTTGTTATGACTACCATAAAGAACATCAGGCATGCCTACATCCCAACACTGAAGCAACATGTATGTTTCAATCCTTCCCAATACAATAATAAACTCTACTTCTTAGATATTTCACAAGTTCAAAATAATATTAAAATATTAACTATACTTATTTCCCTATATCGTATGAATATATTCTTTCCAGCTAATTACTGCTACGACAAACTCAAATAGAGCAGATAGTCGTGCAGTAAAATGATTAGAAAACACTGTAGCCAAAATATGCTTCCCATTTAATTTAGAGATAATACTGAAAGAAGTCTGCTCAGGGCTGAGTGCACCATTGACTCTATGAGGTCTTGTTCTCAGTGTGTATTCTTGGAATGTGAGAATCTGGCATTCTTTAAACTCATCTCTATATTTAGAGATAGATCTATAGATATAGAGGTAGAATATTAAGGCAGTGAAAGATTTCTAATATTTAGGTCATCATTCCTGGTTATGCCCCTAAAATAATTTTTACTTTGCTGGTACAACAAATCAAAGTCGGCCCAGGAACCTGGTTAAATGTGCCAGATGTTTTATCATTTTTAATTTTGTCTTTGTTCTTTCATTTCATAATTTATTAACCTGGAGGCATCCTTGTCTTACTGTTATTACCTCGTCAGATGTCTTTTCTTTCCCTGGATTTAAAAATGAACTGAGGGGTTTGCTGCTTTTAACAAAAGCAGCTCTTGCTTGTTCAGTCCAACCAGTATTTACCGCCACAGAAGATACAAAAGTTCTGCAGTTAACTATCAAAATTTTCAGCTTAACAAAACTTTTACTATGCAAATTTCTATCGGTGTTCTGCTACTGGAAACCGAATTCCCGTTTTGTTCTTTGTCAGGTTGTAAACACAGATTTTAATACTGTTAAGTTGGAAATTCATTTTAACATCTATGACGTTTGGAGACACAGAGGCTCAAGTGGTCGTTAGAGGAACTGCAGTATTTGGCACACATAAAGTATGTGTCTTTGTGATCTTGTTTTAAAAGAGTAGATGCACTTAGTTTTTATTTCACTGATTTCTCTCATGACTCATATCTCTCTCTCTGTATTTGATTTGCCGACTGCACTCATCAGTCCTGTCTCACTCACACATTTATGCTCTGCCGTGAAGCTTTCCAGAAAGAAAGGTGGGGCTAGAGATTTGACTGTCCCACATCCTCATTCTGGGTTAGATAACCATTTGAGTAAATTGCCTCAACAATGCAGGAGATAAAAACCATGCAGTTTGAATATTATAATGTTCCTCCCGTGTAGAGCAGGGCGATATGGCCAAAAGTATTTATCACGATATATATTTGAAAATTTGCGATAACGATATAACTGACGATATAATTGATGCGAGACAAAATACAACTCCACAACATTAGTAGCGCAAAAAGACAACCTTCCATTTATTTTCACTTAAATAAGAAGCTGGTTTTTATGTACATTAAAGCTTTATAAAAATGTAACAGTGCAAATGCAAATTCCTTGCTGAAAGTTTAACCAAAAGGCATTTCCAGTAGAAATGGGCTGACATATCCTGAGCATAACCATGTATAATATCCACTGAAGTTAAAAAGAGGTGCTTTGCAACATTAAACTGCAGTGTGCAGTACGTATTTTTCGGACCATAAGGTGCACGGGATTATAAGGCACATTAAGCGAAACAAAGCAGTCAGATAAATCAAACTTTATTAAACTCATTCTTCTTGCTTCCTCCACTTCTGTACCATTGATTCATTAATGTTGAATTCTCTGGCAGCTGCTCTATTCCCATGTTGTTGCAGTATATTAATGACTAACCTCGTATTGTGGATGGATTATCTCAGTTGTTCTCCTGACTGAAGTTTGGTCCGTTTACAGCATCCTGCCATGCGATTGCATTTGTCTCTAACTATCAGGAACCTTAACGTTAACTTTTATAAGTGGAAAAGTGTTAGTGTTCGTCCTCCAGCTTCACTGTTTATGTTATGCTAACATAGCTGTGTCGCTAGCGATCACGTAGCACATCATTATATACCAGCTAGCCCAACTTCAGTAACCCTACAAACGTCACTGCTGTTTAGTTTCCTGTCTTCATTTATGTTGGAAGTGATAGCAGAGCTGTACGTTTGATTTTTTTCAGAAATCTCTCAGTCAGAACATGCAATATCATGCTTAGGTAACTAGCGAAACTAGCGAGCTAACTTCCGCTAGCTTCCTGCTAACTTCTAACTCTGTTAAATGTAATAAATTTTGTTTTCATGGATGCCTGGAAGTTAAACTTTATAGTTACACCTGGTAAAGCAGCAATGCTGATCGTTTTATTAAAGATGAAAGAATTTAGACAGTTTTTAACGCTCAGTGATGCTGCAGTGTTCGTTTGACCTGAAGCATACGGAGTTTAGGACCCAGATTACTCCCAGATTTAAGAGCATCTTAGTCCGACAAATACGACAATAACGACGGCCGCTTGCATGTTCTGCAAAAAAATGTGCTTTGTCGTGTATCTGACGGACAAACACCAAACCAGTTCCACATCACTGAAGTTGCACCATTTTTACAAACCAATTCTGGTTCATCTGTTTCACTCAACAATCGGCCATGTGCGTATGAAAACAAAGGCACTGCGCATGCGCGTTTTACTCATATTCTATCGCGATATTTCATTTTCCTATTGTTGCCTAACATTATACCGGTATTATCGTGAACGGTATAATATGGCCCAGCCCTACTCCCGTGCCTTGCGGTGATGAGAAACAGAAGAAGAGTCTGTTGCTCTCTGTGTTCTCACATATCAATTACAGCACAGCAGAGAAGGAATTTGAATAGATAAAAAACAACAGAGTTTGCTCTCTGAGGTGACAAGTGAGAAATGACAAGAATGTACATGAAAGGGTTAAAAAACATGCTCGCTCAGACTTTGTTGATGCTGTTTCTCCAGAGTAGAGAAGTCACTGATTGCATTCTTAAACAACTTAGGAGAAAAATCAAATTGATAGTTATTATATCTGAAGACTGAAGTGTAGTACAGCTTGTTTTTTTTTTTTAAAGCAGATTAACACCAAAATTTAAAAGATGACTTGAAGAAGATGAGGATGACCACTTGAAGACAAAACCTTGCTTCAAATGTGTTTTCAACTTTTCAATTGGCACAAAACATAAAACAATTAAACAAATACTATAACATTGATGCCAAACTGAAGCCTTTGCTATGTCCTGATTCTGTTT